CAAACCTAGCTAACAAATTTGCAAACCCAGATAGCTGATTCACAAACCCAGATAGCTGATTCACAAACCCAGTTAGCTATGCTTCAAAATGATTATAATCTTCTTTATCAAGCTTATAGAGCCCACAAACTTAATTATCATTTATTAAAAGCAACTTGTATAGAAAAAAATAAGCATATATCAGAGCTACTCCAAGAAAAATTTGTATAACGCCTTTTAAATAGACAATTTCAGATTCAAGCCCAGCAAAACAGCCAGCAACTACAAGATTATAAGACAGATGGGGCAATTACTACACATCTCTTAAATCTTACAACAAATCGATACAATAAGTGGAAAAATAAATGCAAAACTCTAGAAAATGATCTATTACTTGCCGATGTTCAACTAGACAACAAGTGGGGTAAGTGGAAAACTTGGGCACGAAATTTCGAGCAATTAATTTTGAATTTAAATCAACAAATTTTTATACTACAGAATAATTTACCTATAAATATACAAGCAAATATGGCATTACAACCACTTCTACTACAAAATTTTTTAGGTGAATATAATGAGAATATTGATATTTTTATTAGTCGATTATCATTATATTTAGCTGGCACTGGTATTGACCCAGTTGCCAATTGGGATCAAGCATTTGGTATTCTTAGAAGGTGTCTATATGGGAGAGCATTAGAATAGTTTGATCGAAAAACTAATAAAGTTATCAACCTTTTACTTGGGAACAAGATGTATCGTTTGTTTAATAGAAAAAAAGGTGGAACAAGATACATTAAAAATAACGATTTGGTTTTGATCGGACATCATATTAATGAGCCAAAATACAAATATCTAAAACATTGTTATGAAATAATTGCAAATAGTCCTAAACCGTATCGTGAAGCTATTACGTTCCGAGCAATAAAGCCTGATAAGATGCCAAAAATTAATGATTTCTCCCTAAAAGAGGAACAGTAGTTGTATTTGAAGATTTATGTACTGAGCCTAAAAAAATACAAGATAGAATTGCTCCGTATTTTAGTGAAGGGTGCCATGCTAATATCAGTTCAATATATATAACACAAAGCTTTTTTGACTGTCCCAAACTAATAAGAAAAAATCTCGATTATATTGTTCTCTTCAATGGTAGTGGTACCTATGATGAGCTAGTTAACATTGCCCGACGATATACAAAAAAATGGCACAATGTTGTTGATATACTTGATAAAAATTTACAAGATCGAGAATTTATTGTTATTGATTTAACTAGAGCAAAAGAGGACCCTCTATATCTCCATAAAGGTTGGGACCAAGTCCTGAAATTAGATGAATAGAGTGTAAGTTATTAATACATGCCATGTCTTTTTCGTACTGATAGTTATCAGTTTGAGGTCATACTGATATACACAATTTGGACGTGAAATTTTACCATAACTAACCCGTGGAGTATCTTTTGGTGGTGAGACATGTTTTTGCTATTCATTCTGGTTCGTAAGCCACTCACATACTTTTTTATATGGAAATTGATATCCCTCTGCTTTAAGATCTTTCTATAATTTTCAGGAGTTGGAATGATACCCTGTTGGTTGATAGAATAATAACCTGCAAACAAGATCTACATCCTCATCAGGATCTATAGTAATACTAGGTTGGTTCATTTTTAATGCATTTTACTATATCAATAAATTATTATTTGACAAAGTTTCCAGAAGTGTCGATATATTATAGGCTTGTACAATGCCATCAGATACAATAGTGTCTCTATCTAGTGAAACAATCAAAAAATTCGAAGCTAGTTTGCAGATAATAAAAAATCGATTCTGTAAATTACAATGTGATCTAGATTTAAAAAAGGATTATATTAATTACCTTGAAAAAGAAATCTCAATTCGTGATGAGGAGCTAGACCCATTAAGATCAGAAATTTCTAATTTTATAAAACAGTTAGAAAATGTATTTAAAGAATCTAAAAAGCGAGAGAATTATATAGACTATTTGGAAAAGCGGTTA